TAGTATTCCATTATATAAATATACCACAACTCTTTTATTCAGTCATCTGTTGATTCACATTTAATTTGCTTCCATGTCTTGGCTGTTGTAAATAGTGCTGCTATGAACATTGGGGTGCATGTATCTTTGTGAATTAGAGTTCCCTCTGGATATATGCCCAGGACTGGGATTGCTGGATCATATGGTAACTCTAATTTTAGTTTTTTGAGGAATCTCCATCCTGTTTTCCATAATGGCTGCACCAAACTACATTCCCACCAGCAGTGTAAGAGGTTCCCTTCTCTCTACACCCTCTCCAGTATTTATCGTTTGTGGACTTTTGAATGATGGCATTTCTGACTGGTGTGAGGTGATACCTCATTGTAGTTTTGATTTGTATTTCTCTGATAAATAGTGATATTGAGCATATTTATTAATTTTCTTAATGCTAGAATGCATAGAAAGCATTTTGAAAATTGCTAATCCATATGTCTATGAAAAAGAAGTCTACTCAATAATTGTTTACAGTTCTTTTTTCCCTTTAGCTTAAAAAAGGCATTTAGTCTAAATACTGTGTACAAAAGTTACTTGAAGTGGTTCCTTCCCAGCCCCTCTGTCCACAGACTTTTAATAATCCCTTCGACTCCATATCTCAATTCTGTCCTTGTTTCACCTGGCTTTTGAGGTCCAGAGCCTCTCAGGGGCACCAAAGCAGCCAAGCCCCCTTCTCTCGGGGTCGTCCAGGGTCCGAGCCTCGTTAGACAGGCTCCTCCATCCTCTTGCCAGTTCCAGAAATGTGTACACTCAAGCCTCTCCTATCCTCTCTGGGGATAAGGATTTATAAGGAGTCCTTTGCTGTCATTTTAATGGGATCCTGGAAGGGAGAGGAGACACCTTATGTTCCTAGTCTGCTGTCTTGAACTTGCCACCCAGAGACTCTAGAGTCACAAAAACATGGGTTTATAGATTGTGAGGCACTGGCAGTCCCCTTGACTCCTCCAGGTCCCAAATTCCTCATGTAGGACTTGTGGGTGAGAAGCCCTACAGCACATGGATTTGGTGAGGACTGACTAGACCTTATATGTAAAGTATTGGATATAGTACCTGCTACCATGTTCAGTAAAAGACACCTGCCATTGTCACCTTCATTGACACCTGGATGCCATTCTTGCCGAATTGGCCACTTATCTATTTGCTTACTCATCCAGGGCCACCTAAGAGCTGGGCTTCGCACAGAGTCCCAAAGCATAAATCAGGCAGGGAGGCCAATGATCCCAGTGCGGTCGTCCCAGCAGCCAGTCCCTGAGCTGGCAGTCTTCTTGGCAAGCTGCTGCTTCTCCCGGCTCGTCCTCCCTTGGCCCCAGGATGTGCTTTTGGCCTGGGACTTACAGCTTCTACCCTGGTCTTGAGTCAGAGGGCCTGTGGGGAGAGCCTCTCCAAGCCTTATGCCAGTGCGCCTCTGCAGGCCCTTGGCTTTGATGCTGTGAACGCACGATTGTCTCTGATGGAAATGAGTGATGAGCTGGAGATTTTGGTAGAGCGAGGCCAAATCCCTGTGTGGCTCCAGGAACGAGGATAAATATAGACCGAGTAATTGCTTATGGTCTTTTAAGGATTAAAAGTCAGCTTTCAGGCAAGCTGTGAAGCTCCATGACCAGGACAGTGAGGGACACAGTGCCTTTTTTAGAGCCGTGGTCAGCACCCCTTGTTCACTACTGGATCCTGGGTCTCCAAAGCTTAAGTGAGGGGCCACCTTCACTAGTCTACACCCCATAAGGGCAGGATGGGTCTGAAGTGGCCCTGCCACACCCCATCACCCAGCCCTGGTCTGGCACACTAAAGTTGCTCGATAAACATCTTAAATGAATATATGAGCTGTGAGAAGGCATATATATTTTTTTCTTTATTGAAGTATAGTTACAATGTTGTATTAGTTTCTGGTATATTTTTCATTATAGGTTGTTACAAGATATTACATGTAGTTCCCTGTGCTATATAGTAGGACCTAGTTTGTCTATTTTATATATAGTAGTTGGTTTCTACTAATCCCAAACTCCTAATTTATCCTTCCCTCTCCTTTCCCCTTTGGTAACCATAAGTTTGTTTTCTATGTCTGTGAGTCCCTTTCTGTTTTGTAAATAAGTTCATCGGTATCATTTTTTTAGATTCCACATGTAACTGATATCATATGGTATTTGTCTCTTTCTGTCTGACTTAGAGAAGGCAATATCTTAAAAATAACCTTTAGAATAAAATCTGTAGTCTAGTTAACAATAACATGCCAATGCCCACTTCGTGGTTTTCATGTCATACATCAGCCATGTAAGACATCACCACTGGGGGAAGCTGGATGAAGGGTACAAGAGACTCCATGTACTATTTTTGCAACTTCCTGCATGTCTGTAATTATGCCAAAATAAAAAGTAAAAACCAAAAATAACCTTTAGTCAGGCTCGTGTCAGTACTCTTTGACACTTAGAGGGGCGGAACTGGAAGAGGAATTGATTAAATTCCTGTTCACAGCAATGCTGTTGTGTCATTATTATTTTTTGAATGTAAACACATGACTTATTCATATGATCCAAAACTTTAAATGTATAAATGAGGTACGCTGTGGATACTCTTTGCCTCAGCCACTTAGATTCCCTCCTTATAGGCACCTAATGTTAATGTTATTTGTTTCTTGTGCTAATTTTAGTGAGATTGTGTGCACACACACATATGTACTTGTGTGTATGTATGACTTTAAGTATATTTGTATGTGTGTATGTATCCATACTGTTCTGTTGTCTTACTTTTTGCACTTAATCGTGTGATTGTGAAAGCTTTTCATATCACTACACAAAGATCTCATCTTTTGTTGTGACTCTACTCATCATCTTTTATGGCCCCCAATTGGTGGACATTTATATTATTTCCAGTCCTTTTGCTTTTATAGACAAAGCACAATGAATCATGGTGTTCATCTATCATTTCCCAAGTGTGGGAGTATGTTTGTAGAATAAATTCCTTGACGTGGAATTGGGTCAAAGGATATAAGCCTTGTAATTTTGATCATACTAAACTGTCTTCTGTAGAGCCTGCTCCATTTCACACTCCAACCAGTAATGTGTTTTATGAAACGCTAGTGTTAATGCAGTGATTTAAAAAGTATTTGGTGACCCCTTTGTGAGTCTGGAGGAAAGCTGTGGGCCTGTGCTCAAGAAAAACAGAAATCACACCATGTTTTGCACACAATTTCAGTTGGCTCTGAGACCCCTGAAGGCTCTCCATGAACCTTAGTTTAAGAAACCCTGATGGGAGGGGAGGAAGTATGGTACAGGGGAAAGAGCTTTAGGGCCAGTCTACCTAAGTTCTCCTCTTAGTTCTGCCACTTATTGGCTGTGGAGCATCAGATAAGTCTTCTACATCTTCAAGTCTCAGTTTCCTTTTTGAAAGAATGGTAAAAATAATTCTATTTCATAGGGCACTTTAATGTGGAGCATCTAATACAGTGGTTGGGAGACAGTAGGTGCTCAACATATAATTGCTATACAGACATGCAAACCCTCCTCACATGCACACAAAGCCTTCAGTTTCATTTCAGCCAAAGTTTCTAGTTACCTCTGCAGTAATTGCTGCTGGAGTCACAAAGTCAGTCTTAGAAGCATCATTCGCTAAAGTGGGGTCCTTGGAGCAACTGTAAGAATCACCTACCGGCCCTAATTAACATATAGGTTCCTGGGTCCTACTTGTAGATCCATGGAATTAGAATTTCTGAAAGAGAGGTACAGAGAGCTTCATACTTGGGAATTCTAATGCACAGTGAAGCTAGAGAAACTGTGCAGAAGAGTTTGGTAAATGCCTTTCAGCCTTATAACTACAGTTCTAGTAGTTACCACTACGTGGCTTTGCCAGTGGGAGCCTGTTTCCAGCAGACAGATAGGTGTTGACACCTGAGAGAAAGCATGACCTGTACCCAGGAGAGTCTCCTCTGGGTACATCTATAAAAGCACAGTTATTTATGGTTGTAACAGACAGCATGCACTGCAGTCTCAGCAGGAATCTCTCTCAGAATAAGCAGGGAGGAGAGATAGTTCAGGACTGGGTGCCCATGGAAGTGGCGGCATGGAGGCCCAGTGGGCCAGGTTCAGTGGAGAAAGCTTGCCGTGGCTGGGGTGACTGACTCATGACCAGGAGCTGGGGATAAGGACTGTGTACAGCCAGGCATCTGTCACAAGGAGGGCTGGAGGCCACAAGCCTTGAAGCACAAATCCCTGGAGCTCTCAGCATGACTGGTGAATGCTTCCTGAGGTAGCAAGAGATGACCCAGGGCTAGAGTTGCCAGATTTAGCAAATAAAAATACAGGATGAGCAGTTAAATTAGAATTTCAGATTAAAAAAAATTTTTTTTAAGTATAAGTATGTCCCATGTAATATTTGGGACATACTTATTACTAAAAAAGATATGTGTTGTTTTTCTGAAATTCAGATTTAAGTGAATGTCCTGTATTTTATCTGGCAACCCTACCCAGCACTTCTCTGAGCTTCTTCTGCAGAAGAGGGCTAGAGCCCCTGTGTGACTGGCCCAGAGCCCACAGCTCCATGATCTTTCTCTAGATGGACACTGCATCCAAGGTGGGTGAGGAGCGAGTTGGGCAGGGTGTGGACTTCCAGGAGAGAGGCAGCCCTTCCTCACCTGTGTCTGGGCAGGGGCAGGAAACTAATTGTGCCTATCAGGAGGTAGGAGATGCTGGCACAGTGCTAAACCCTACAATCTTATCTTGTTGAAGCCTCCTGCAACCCTAGGAATTAGGCTGGTGTTATCACTAAGATTCCCACTTTCGAGATGAGACAGGCTCCACGAGGTTTACCACCATAGGCTGTTGAGTGGAGGAGCAGAGATTGAAGCCCTTGGGGCTGGGGCCAGGTCTGGGATTAGCAGAATCTTCCAGGCCCTTCTCTCTGCTAATCCCAAGGGTTTAAGGTAGGAACAGCCCTGCCTCCGAATCCCTGGGACAGGAAATGTTCCCAGTTTTCCTGGCACAGGGCCAGGGTCTTGTCCAGGCTCACATGCCTGCTGGAGATTCCAGGCTGGGAGACAGATCTGCCAAGTTCCCTTGGTCCCAGTCTGGCCCGGACAGTGGCCGGCAGCATGAGCTGCCCAGGGGCATGGGCATTGCCCTCCGCTGTGCGGGTGCCCATGGGAGGGGCCCAGGGCGAGCTGCTGCCTTGCAGGCCTGGCCGGTGCTGAGCCCCCGGCCGCCTGGCCAGCTTCCCTGCCGTTAGCCCCCTGAACCGGGCCAGAGGGGTCCCTGAGGAGCTCTGGACGCTAAGTCCCAGCCCCTCTCGGAGGAGGCGGGCAGCAAGTCTCGGCAGCCAGAGGCTTCTGAGCTCCCAGCTCCGGAGCCAGATGTAACATTGACCTTAAATGGTAAAAGCTCCCCAGAGTGAAGAGAGGCTGGCCAGAGGAGGAAAAGGGAATAACTCAGTTTTAGGTAAGTCGTCGCTATCTCCAAGAATAACCTGCCTCTTCAGCCGGGAGCAAGGGAACCCTTTTCCTCCTTAAAGGTACAGGGTGCTGGGATGGGGGCGCCTGACTTTAACTTTCCAGGGGAGTTGGCTTGGTTGGGTGGCATTTCAGCCGAGTATCTTTATTGTTGCTGTCATCATTTTAAAATAAGAAGTGAATCTGACCTGTCCTAACTTAACTAAATTGTGCTCTTTTTGCTTGCTGTTGGAAAGCATGCATGAATTAGAGTGAAAATGCGGATTCTGACTGGGGATCTCTACCCCAGATTTCCTGTGGGCCCCTTTGGAGCAACAGTGGGCCCCCAGATTACATAAGCCCTCCAGGCAGGGTTTCCCCCAGCCGCCTGTTACCCCTTCCCCAGCCTTGCTCTCTGCTTACTTGTGCCTCTCTCTGCCCCCAACCCCCACCCTGTGCTGCCCTCTGTCCACTTTTGACTTTGTGCTGGCCCAGCCCTGGCTCTCTCCTTGACCTGCCCTTGTTTCTGTCCCTAAACCTTCTGTTGTGTGCTCTGGTCGCCGTCACTGTTTTTATCCCTGTCCCCATAACTCTTGTCTCCAGTTTTGCCCCACCCTGTGCCCTTTCCCTGCTCCTTCCAGGGGTTGTGTGTGCCCAGTCTGTGCTCTGAGAGTCTGCTCATCTCCAGGAGCTATTTCCAGAATGAGCAGCACTCAGGCTGCATTTCTCCAAAGGAAAGGCCAGTGGGAGCCGAGGCCAGAAAGGGGTCCAGCTGTCCTGCTTCCTTCTGCCCAGTCAACGGTTGTAAAAGCCCAGAGATGCTCTTCAGTTTGAATAAACAGAGTAGGGGGACCTGAGGCCTCTGGCCTGCATTCCTGTCTCCCAGAGCTCAACAGCTGCTGTTTTGACACTTACTCTTCAGGTTGCTCTTTGAGGGTCTCGGGGAAAATAAAGCAGCCCACGGGCTGGTCTGAGCTGGGTCTCATGCAGGAAAAAGGAGGCAGTTTCCCAGGACTGTTCGGCTGGCAGCACTAGGGAGTCAGAGTCAAGAGGGTTTCTCTTGTTCCCACCAGGGGGCAATGACATGCTGGTGAGACAGGTGGAGTTAACTCCCCCCAGCCTCATGCCACCACTCTGATGGGGAGGAAACTCAGGTTAAGTGACTTGCCTAAGGTCAGACCACTAAGAAAGAGCAGAACTAGCAGAGCTAGGAGTCAAACCCAAGTCTGTGTAAGTCTAACTGCAGTGCTCCTGCCCCTGAACACAGCTGTGAGGGTGAGGGTACACTCCTGCCTTCAGTAGTGTCTTGTGATTTTTGACCTAATGGACAATACAGTTGTCATTGTCATGCTTGGTCCATGATTCAGAAGGGTGTGTGTGTGTGTGTGTTTGGCTATTTGTATTCATAGCTGATAGACCTTCCTCTATACTTGGTAGTAAGTGGGATGTTCCTGTATTCCCTCTAAGATCGTCTGGGAGGTATAATCATGTGCTCATTGCTACAACATGATCAATGATCCCTGTAAACATGTTTTCTAGAAGAAAAAAAAGCAAACATTGCCATTATTACTGTACAGGGAACACTGTTCTAAGCACTTCCCGTGCAGTAATTCAAACTTTACAACTCTGCAAAGCTGGGGTTCCCATGACTACTCTCATCTCTAGGTGGGACGTTTTAGCACAAGAAGTCATACAGCTGGTGACAGGTGGTGCTGGCAGCCTGTCTCTGGAGGCTGTGCTCTTAACCACTGTGCTCTGTCCATCTACAGTTGGTGCCATTTCTGAGAGAGCGGTGGGGGAAGCACTGACTCTTCCAACGCTGCATCTGAGGCTCTCCACACATGATTTGGTGTGCTCTTTTCAGCCACGCTAAGAGGGATGTGTCTTTAATTCGATTTTACAGGAGGGTGCTAGGACTAGGGAATGTGACACAACTTGTCCAAGGTCACCCAGCCACCAGGTGACAAAGCAGGGGACTTAGTATCTTGGATGAGGATAGTTAAGGCCATGTAATGCCTTCTACTTGAAGCTAACTCCCAGGGGCACCAGGGGACTTGTAATGTCAGGGTGAGGGGTTCCATGAGTCTCTGTGAGAGGAAAGCTAGATTCCTTGCCTGATGGGCAGAACCACACATAAAGGGTCCTCAGCTTCCCAAACAGTTCCTGCCTCTTTCCTGTAAGTCTTGGTAATAGGGGTGGATGGATGCACCCACGCCTCCAGCAGGACTGAGCCCTGTGAGGGCAGAGACCCTGTCTCATTCCCCACTGTGTGTCCTGCACCCAGAGTGATGCTGGGAGTGTACTAAGTGCTCAGGATCAGTTGGTTTTTCTTATGAAGAAATGAACCTAATACTCAAAATGCATGTTCTGGTTAATCAGGGCCCTGGGTTTATTCTGTGTGTGTGCCTGATGAGCAGATTCTTCTCATCTGTCTTGAGAGGATGCAAGGTGGGAATCTCAAGTTGTCCACTTCCTCCCCAGCCTCTATCTCTCCTGGGTAGTGCCAGGGAGGCTCTGGGCTGCCCCTTGGCCGTCCCCTCTGTGCTTGGCAGTCAGCAGAGGGACTGTTTGATGACTGAGGAGGAACGGAGGCCCAGATGGATGGGGAGGAGAGATCCAGGAGTCCCCAGACTCTGCTCCTGCTCCTTGGGGAGCTCTTTGAGTTAGTGAACTAGCTCTCTTATAAATGTGAAAAGGAGGAGAGAAAATTCAATGAATTGTGTTCCTACCTTGTGCCAGGGTCTGTACTAGAACTGTTATGTAATTTCATCCTTGTGATCGAGATGAGGACGTTGTGACTGAGGTAAAGTAAGGCACATGGTTGATACGTGGTAAGTGGGGATTCCTGCTCAGGCCACCTTGATCTAAGGTGGGCACTTCCAGTGTTAGATGCCACCCTGCCTCTAGTTAGTAACAGGTCTCAGGGCAGTTATGAGTGTCACAGCCCACATGACAGGGAAGTCAAGGGGATTGCATTTGTCCATGGACCTTGGAGGCCCGGCTCTGAGTTCAAGGGACAGCCCAGGGCAACCTCACTAGATGGGATGCAACATGAGTCCGTGACCTTGGACAGGCCCTGCCTTCTCTGTGAGGGCCTTCGCCAGGGGAGAAGGAAAGCAGGAGACAGTCAGCCAGACAGAAAACCTCTCTGCTAGTCGGCCCTGGGTGTAAAAAGGAGTCAGGGAAGGCTAGGCTTAATCAGCTCTGGTTACTTTCTTCCCTGTACTTTTGAAATTAAGAATTCTTTTTCAAAGTTTTTTCCTGGTAATGAAAGTAATATATATTCCTTGCCAAATTTCCTTGGAAAATATAGAATTAAGTATAAAAAGAAATTCAGAAATAAATATAAAGAAATAAAAC